ACTGACGTTTCGGACGCTAGTCCTTCGTCGGAGTAAAAGAGAAAGAAGTGGTAGAAAGGAATGTAAAAGGATGTAAAAGACCGAGTTAATCAAGAAAAGTGCAAATATTACAATTATTTTCATTATTTTAAGGACACATCACAATTCGTTTCAACGCGTGGCCTAGTTGTGTCACATAACCGTGGTGAGAAGGCTACATTCAGCTGGAGTTACAAATTAACAGAAGACGATACCAAGGCTTTGTCCCAGGTTGTATTTGGAGTTTACAAAGGAGGGAGCTATAAGCCAATATGCGCTTATCAGGTAAAACAACAAAGAATATCTAAAAATAATCAAGTAAAAATGTCTAACTGAGGGGGAAAAGACGAAATAAATAAAAAGGTTTAACGAAAGGATAAATGAATAAAGCAATTGGAGAATGTGAAAAAGATACACACAATATGAAACGATGAATATACGAACAAATTGATCACCTTTGCTCGGGCGGATCTTTTTCTCAATTTCAGCTTCTTTATGCTTCTTCACATTTGCAACTGAGCGCAAGCGTTAAACAAAGAAATGATACTCTAGGGAATGGATCGCACTTGGTCTCCAATAGGGGAAGATTTCGCCTGAGCTCGCCTGAGTCTAGGAGGCCTGTTGGTTAAATCCACAGGGATGAGGGGTGGGGGGTGAAGTTTTAAACATTTCATGAATGCAAGGATCAAGGAGAAAGTAGCGGAGTATTAAGTTATGATAATTCTATTCTAAATCAGGTCGAAAGCAAACAACAATTTACAAACAACTGTTCAACTGGTGTGACGAAATCAGCCTCCCACATTGAAGCCATTAACCCTCAAAGTAAAGCTACTTTCGTACTTAACAATATTGAACTGGAGGATGAGGCTGTGTACTCCATTCGACTTGTTGGGACAACTCACGATATGGAAAGTAAAACACGCCTTGTGGTGACAGGTATGGACATTGACTAATATATATACTTATTGATTTTATTGTCGAACTATCCATTCGAACTTAGTTATAAAGTGCACCTCATATACCGCTGCAAAGAAACCAAAGATGTATTGCCTAATAGATAGATAGACAGACAGACAGACA